CTGAGAGGTTGAACTAGCCGTTTGTCTTGGTATCCTTTGGTTTCTCATCCGGCCTAGTCCAACTCAACCAGATTGAATATGGTCTAGTATGGCTCAATCGGGCTAATTCTCAGCCACCTCCAATTTCATGGCAAGCCAAATCAGTGTTGATAATACGTACCAAGACCGCCCTGGATTGTACACCTCACATGACAAAGCCCAAGTCGGGAAGAGAATGTATAGGGCAGGCAAGGCGCGGGGTGCTGAAGAGTTACACACATGTCCACTGTGCGATGCGTAGATGGCGATGGCGATGATTTGGCGAAGGATCGCTGCCACGTATGTTATGGTTGATGGGTTGCGCATCTGGCAGGTTGGAGTATACTCAGTTCCGCTCCGAAGTCGGCCTGGATTTCGCGCCCAATCGCCCCTCCCCTTCGCATAATTCACACAACACCCTGAGGTCTTTTGGCGTAGTGGAGCCGTCGGCAGGGTGCTCAAGGCCGTAGTCGACTTTAGACGCGGAGATCCTCATATCGAAGACGCCTACGGCGAATCACCGCCGCCCCCTGCCTTTTTGGAAGCGCTTGCGTGGCCAAAAGTTGGGTGTATGCTTGGCCACGCTATCGTGCCACGCGTTCCCCGAGTGGGTTTCGAAAGCCTTCGGGGAACACGGAGTCGCGCGAGCTATCGGACCAGGTGGTTTCTGAGCTTTCGTGCCTCTTGGAGAACGTCTTGGAGGGGTCTTGGGCCGTCTTGGAGGCCTCTGGCGGGCCTTTTGGGTAATCGAAGGCCATATTCAGGCCATGTGGGGCCGTCTTAGGTGCATTGTGGGGCCATCTTCGCCGTCTTGGAGGCCTTCTCGGCCGTCTTGGAGGCATCTTGGAGGCCATCTTGGCCGTCTTGCAGGCCATCTTGGGCGTCTTGGGGGCCATCTTGGGCCGTCTTGGGGTCTTCTTGGGGCCCTCCTGGTGGCCTCTTGGCCTGCCATGGGGCCATCTTGGAAACCTCTTGGGCGCTCTTGGGACGATGCTGTGGGCCTCTTGGGCCGTCCTGGGCCGTCGGAGAGTTGATAAAAGAACATGCCAACATCTGTTTCTTTTTGAACAATAAAAGGAGGACAGTCAATGATTTTCGACCTTTCGGGCCGTCCTGGAGGACGTCTTGGAGGCCTCTTGGGGACCTCTTCGCCAGTCTTAGGCCATGTTGGAGCCATCTTGGGCCGTCTTGTAGGCTTCTTGGACGAACTTGAAGGCATCTTGGACTCTCTCTGTCCGTCTTGGACCATCTTGGGCGGACTTGGAGGCCATCTTGGAGGCCATCTTGGGCCAACGTGGCCATCTTGGAGGTCATCTTGAGCCGTCTTCGAGGATTTTTTGGGGGGGATAGAGGTCCTGGGCAATCTTTTCGGGTGGTCGGCGGGACGGGCCGAAGCCCCAGGGGGAGTTCTTTTGAACAAAACCAAAACCGAAAGGGTTCAGCACGCCAGGCACCCTTGTGATGAATCAACAGGGGGCGGCGGATCTAACTGCCTTCGACCCATCCCGCCACCGTGCCAGGGTTGTGGGTCAGAGTGTTCAGGGATGCTTCTTGGGGTCTCTTCGGAGCGCCTTCGGGGGCCTCTTGGGGGCAGGTTTGTGGCCTCTTGGCGTCCCCTCGGGGACCTCTTGGGGGCATATTGGGGCCACTTTAGGGCCTCTTGCGACCGCTTGGGGGCCTCTTGGGGGCCTCCAGGGGCCTCCTGGGGCCCCCTCGGGGCCGAGGGTTTGGAATGTCTGTTCGGGCCTCCCGTCCAGGACCCCTCGAGCCGTCTTTGGGCCCTCTTGGGCCATCTTGGGCGCCTTTTGTGCCGCCTTGGGGCCCTCTTGGGCCATCTTGGGGCCCTCTTTTTGGGGGCCTCTGGGGCCGCCTTGGGGCGATCTTGGAGGCCTCCTGGGCAGCCTGAGAAGGCGAGAAGGCCAAAATCTTTTTATGAACACTTCAGGGCAATCACAGATGTTTGCCTCTGGGGCCCTCCTGGGAAGCCTCTTGGGGAGTTTTCGAAGCTTCTGGGGCGGTCTTCAGGCCATCTTGGACGTCTTGGAGCGATCGTTTGGCGATTCGAGGCCCTCTTGGACCAGGGCCTCTCGCGGCCCCTCTTGGGGCCGACAACGTCACGCGGGGAGACGATCCAGTGCCCAGAGAAAGCACGCCAGGCCCCGGAAGACTTGAGAAATGTGGAGTCTGGGCCTTTCAATATTCCCCGGGATTGAGGACTAAAACTCAGACTCCAGGACTGAGCTCAGGGGATTGGGCAGAGGATCTGAGGACACGCCCTCTCTGTGTCCAGCGGCACGTCGGCGGATGTGCATCTCGTTCTTGAGCATTTTTCGCTGTCAGTGTTTGGCTGTGAACGTCTGGATGTGAGAGTGCGCCGGAGTGGGCGACGGCTACGACGACGACGACGGCAGCAGCTTCGAAGGGGGCGCCGACGACGACTCACAGACAGACAGGCGGCAAGCATGCCCATTCCTTTCTCCTTCCTCTTCCTCCTCGTCGCAGCCCCTCCCTTCTCCTCCTTCCTCGTCCCCTCTCACTCCTCCTGCGTCCTCCTCCTTTGCCCTCTTCCTCCTCCTCTTCCTCCTCCTTCTCGTCCTCCTCCTGCATCCCCCCTCCTACCTCCTCCTCCTCCCTGGCAAGTGTCCCCGTCCCTGGCGGCCTACCCCTCTCATTTCTCTGTCTCCCTTCTCTTCCTTCCTCCTCTCTTCTCCTTCCTCTCGCGTCCTCTTCCTACCTCCTCCGACATCCTCCCTATGGGCCGTCCTTCTCCCTTCCTCGAGGTCTCCAAGGGGCTGTGAATGGAGAGGAGTCGGAGGTGCACAACGAGCGCCTCGCTCGAGACAGCCCCACGACCAGGTCGCGAATGGGCGAGTGTCATACCTCCTGGCGGCCCCCTTGGGGCGCTGAAGCCAGCGAATCCCTCGAGGCATCCTCACGACATGCTCTGGAAGCAGAGGAGCCCGAATCGCCGAAACAGACACTCACCTGAGACATTCCCACAATCTGGCCGCGAATGGGCTGAAACAGGTGCCTCGCTCGAAACATTCTCGCAGTATGCTCCGAAAACAGAGGGGCCTGGGCCACCAAATAGGTAAACCGCTTGAACAAACCATTTGAGATGTCTCCATTATCTTGACACGATTGGGGCCGTGTAACCACCTCTGGCGGCCCCAAACTTGGGTGCTGAAGCGAGAGCATCGCTCGAGACATCCTCACAAGTTGAGTATGAGGCGAGCCTGAGTGTGAGTGGTCTGTGTGAGCGAGTCTGACTGTGAGTGACTCTGTGCCTGTTTCAGTCTGGTTGTGAGCAGTGAGTCTGAGTGTGAGTGTCGCTGAGTCTGAGTGTATCCAAGTCTGAGTGCATCTGAGTGTGAGTGAGCCTGAGTGCTGAGACTGAGTGTGAGTGAGTCCTAGTGTGAGTCTGAGTATGAGAAGTCTAAGTATGAAGAGGAAGGAGGCCAGAAGGAGGCGGAGGCATGACACTGATCCCCAAACACACATGCCCTGGACATGCGCCATCTTGCCTTGTGGGGATTCGCTGTACGACAAAGGGCGGCGGTGATATCCATGGCCAATCCACGACTGAAGTTCCGCTGGCTTGCAGACCCTGGATTCTTTATCCAATGGTTCCTTACCCAACGCCCTCACCGTATCTGAGCGCCTCGAGTGCACCCTGGGAAGGCGAGCTCGGGGACTCCTTAGGCCCAGCGCTGGCACCGCGGCGACCCTCGGCGCTTGCCCGCGAGCCACCCAGACCAGTGTTTGGGGCCCTCCCTGGTGTCCTCCTCCTCCTCCTCCTCCTCCTCCTCCTCCTCCTCCTGCCCCTCCTTGGCGGCGAGCGAGGGAAGGAAGTGAGAAGGAGGAGGCCCTCTCAGAAGGCGGCGGGACTTCTCAGAAGCCCTCTGGCCCTCGGAAGGGTTCTCTGTGTCTTCGGGGGAGGCTCCAGAAACTCTTCAGGAGGCCGGAGCACTTCCGCCAAGTGGAGGCACCTCCGCGGCCCTCGGCGCCCCCGTAGAACAGCCCATTGACGGCACCAGCGAGTCAGCGACGGTCGGATTTTGCCAGAGAGCAGGGAGAGAGGAGGAGGTGGAGTAGGCGGAGGTGGAGGAGGAGATGGAGGTGGAGGAGGAGGAGGGCGAAAAGGAGGAGGAGGAGGCGGATGATGATGATGATGATGATGATGATGATGATGATGATGATGATGATGATGATGATGATGATGATGATGATGATGATGATGATGATGATGATGATGATGATGATGATGATGGAGGAGGAGGAGGAGGAGGAGAGGAGGAGGAGGAGGAGGAGGAGGAGCAGGAGGAGCAGGAGGAGCAGAGAGGAGGAGGAGGAGGAGGAGGAGGAGAGCAGGAGGAGGGAGGAGGGGAGGAGGAGGAGGAGGAGGAGGAGGAGCGCGAGGAGGAGGAGGAGAGCGGCAGGAGGAGGAGGAGGCGGAGGAGGAGGAGGAGGAGGAGGAGCGCGACAAGGAGGAGGAGGAGGAGCAGGAAGAGGAGGAGGTTGACGAGGAGGAGGGCGAGGTGAACGAGGAGGAGGAGGATGAGGAGGAGGAGGAGAAGGCAGAGGGAAGAGGCACAGGAGGAGGAGGAGGAGGATGAGGAGGAGGAGGAGGAGGAGGGTGTCCATGGCCCCATTTGGCGCGTTCTGGAAAAGGCCTCGCCTTCGAGGGTCGAAGGAATTGCCTCTTTTTCGGCCTACGGCGGCGTAAGGTCGGCGGAAGTCGGCGGAAGCACGGAGGTTGTTCTTCTGCTGGCGGACGGGCAGCGGACGTAACCAACATTCTCCCAGGGATGGAGTTTTTTGTTGATCCAGGGTTCCTGGACCCCGCCAAGTGTCCGGGCATTCACGGCCTCCAGACAGAGCACCCCCACAAAAGCCCAGAAGGCCCCCTGACTTCCAGAATGACGCGAAAAGCCGGGGGGCACCAGGTGCACCTCCGTTCACCGTTTGCGCGTACCCTGCAGGCACGTCGTGTGCTTGCGCTCGAAGTTGGTGCGGAGCAAGAAGCAGGTGGCTTTCCGCGCCATAAACGGGCAGTTCCCGATGATCAACGTGCCGTGGGACTCGACCAGGGACCCGCCCGACGCTGGAGATCTGCATGTCGTCGAGGTCGCTCGCGTCGCGCTTGTATGGTCGCCCCCCTCTTGCTGTCGCTGCTCCTCGTCCTCCGTGTGGAAGCGTGACATGGACTTCGTCGGCGTAGTTGTCGCCAGGGGAGTCTGGTTAAGGCTGCTCGATATAGATGTGCAGGGCTCTCTGACAGCACTTCTTCTCCTTCAGCTCCCCGTGGGGTGCTGCTAAGACCCGATGCACCGCGGCAACGGCCACCACCGACAGCAGAAGCCCCAGTACCTCTGCGATTCATGACCACATCTGGATGCAGCGCAGAGTCACAACCACAACGAAGCAAACTTTCCTGAAGGCCCTTCGCGGGAGAACCCACCCATCTCGTCTTGGGCACTTTCTGTTGTGGTTGTGGTCGATTTGGCCGTCTGGTGCGCCCACATCGACCACAACCATAACGAAGCTGGTTTCGGAGTTTCTACGCTTACCTCCATGCGCAAGACATCCCCCCGGGGTATGTCTTCGATGTGGTTGTGGTCCCTCGCTGTCCCCGCGCCACAGGTGGCCCCCTCGATTGCAAGGTCTGGAGAGCGTGTACGGTCTGCCTACCTGCCCAAACGGTGTTGCTCAGTCTTGGCCGCAGGGATGCCCTCCTCAATGGTGGCGGCACGAGTGCGAGAAGATGCGTCGAGCTCCGCGCCGCACGCGGCGTGACGTTCGGTGAGTTGGTCGCGGCCCAGACTTGGACTGCGGGGGCCGCCAGCAGCCCTGACCGAGACAGTACGACCTGGAGTGTCCCAACTGACCAGGGAGCTCACCTCGACCCCTCCGATGCGGTTCGATTCGATCTCGACGGTTTCCAGCTCCGATCCGATTCGACGTGGGATGCTGACTGGGATCCCGGTTTCTCCATGGAGGCCTCCTAGCCTGCAGAATTGCTGATCCGCCGTCTCCCGACCCGGCCGCCGATTTCCGCCGATCCGATTAATGATTCGATCGCCGATCCGCCTCATCGATTCGATCCTGGGTTCTCCTGCCTTCGCTCTGGCTGAGGCGGTGCGACCTGGAATGTCCCGACTGAGCTTAGGTCGGGCGTGTCCCCCTACAGGCGGGTTTTGGACGAAAAGTGAAACATAGTTGAGACATGCCCCAAAAATGTTCAAGGATACTCAAAAATAGTAATCCCCCGATTATTGTTTGACTATTCTTGAATATTTCTCCTGTAGAGGGACAGGCCCGACTGAACCCGTCGGCGAGCCCAGGAGCGGGCCGGTGTTGCACGCTCCTCTCCTTCCCCCCAGACCCATCAGCCTTCGCTCTGACTGAGGCGGTGCGACCTGGAGTGTCCCGACGGAGCCGCGCGGCCACGGTGCCCCCGCGGCACCCGTCGGCGAGCCCAGGGAGGCGGGCCGGGAGCGCACGCCTCCCGCGGAGGAGCGGAGGAGAGCCCACGGCGAGACCACGGCGGCCCGCCATGCGCGCTCGCCCCTCCCTGAGCGCCTCGCCGAGCTTTGATGGGCCTGCTTTCCACCACCACCTCCGTAAGTTGAAGGGGGGAAGTAGGAGGAGGAGGAGGAGGTGGAGGAGGAGGTGGAGGAGGAGGAGGACCCCCTCCCCCTCCAACTTGTGGTGGTGGTAGTGGTGGTGGACAACAGGCCCATCAAGCTTCCCCGTCGCCACGGCCGGATCCGCGTCGAGCGAAGATGGGCAGGCGTGAGCACAGAAGCTCGGGGGTCCGCGCGGACTTCTCGGGGCGGCGCCTCCCGGCGCCGCCCCTGGCGAGCTGCGTCAGGCCCCCGGAGGCCAGCGCGCCTTCCGCTGCGGAAGCACATGCGTGCGGACCACGGCGGTGCTGCGGTGGCTCGAGCGGTGCCCACGAGACCGCGGTGCCTGTCAGCGTGACTCAAGTCGTCACCGCCTAGCATGGGGGAAACGGGTCCCGAGGGAAACGGATCCTGGGCCCTGCTGCTCTCCCCCAGGCTGAGGACACGTGAACCCCAGGAAGCGATTCCGCTTCCTGCAAAGTCAGATTTTTCAGCACCCGCGCATTCTCTGTCTGCTGCACTGCAGGATTCGGGTCCGTGTCCGGGTTTTTTGGGGGGTCTTGCAGGCTTTGAGGGCCTGTGTCCGGGTTTATTTTGGAAAGGTTGCAGTGCAGTGTTTTGTTCGTGCCGCCGTCTGGAAACATTGGTTTCGAGGGATGTTGGGTGTCCAGGTCTAGCGTGTCCAGGTTTACGGGGCCCTGACTCCGCGCGCCAGGGAGGAGGGGTCCATCGCGGATCCACGAAACCCGCGCCGACCTCCGAGTTTTTTTGTTCATGCTATGTTTCGTTCCCCGAAGGACAGCCTGAGCCGCCAGAGATCTGCACACCTGGCAGCGGGCGCGGGGCGAGCAAGAGATCCCTCCGCGAAACTTCACGCAAGTCTTCGGAGGAGGGAAAAAGGTGCCCATACCTCCACCCCTGCCTCGTTTTCCCCGTGTTGGGGCCTCCTGGATTCGCTTCGAACTTCCTGGTCAGAGCGCACCCCGGGAGGGGTCCGGGGAGTGGCGGCATCGGTATCCGGAGGGCTGCAGGACCCCACAGCAATCCCACGGGCGCCCACTTGCCCGCACAGGGCGGGCCAGAGGGTCGGCGCCTCGAGGGCAGACGGGCCCCAGGGAGGGCCTGGGGCGGCGGCGCCGGAGCCTCCTCCCGCGGCATCCTCGCGCTCCTCGGACGCCACCTCGGATTCTTCCAGCACTCGAGATCGGGGTGCCTGGCGAGAGAGCCGCCGTTGTCTCCATTGGCCCTTCTCCGAGATGAGGTGTAGCCACCGATTGCATTGCGCAAGTAGCCATCCAAGGTGAAGGCTTTATGCGATAACGGGCAAATGGGTCGTTGCGCTGCGCCAGTTCGTTGTCGATGAGTCTGCTTTCCTAGGCATCATTTGCTGTAATGTTGGCTTGGGGTACGGGAAGGAGGGCAGACTGGTCCAACTCGTGATTATGTGGCCTGGGGTGTCTGGCGAAACTTACGGCGAATGGGGGCCGAGGGGGCAAATCCGTGGTACCGTGGCCCAGAGTGTTTGGCACAAGCGGGGCATAGGAGACTAGTTTGTGATTTCTGTGCCCAGGGTGTCTGGCACAACCTGTGTCCTCTGGCTATGGGTGTCTAGCGTAACATGTAGCGCAACGCAGGACTGCTGGCGAACGTTGTGCCGTGTCGTGTCGTGGCCTTGCGCATGGTGTTTAGGGACATGTGGTTCATGAAGTTTCGATAATGCGGATCCCACGGTGTTGTCTCCATACAGTACTAGGCTACGCCATTCGTGGGTCTTGGTCGTTGACTCGTCTCGCCAGGAGTCAAACTAACTTGTGCAAAGGCGACGAGCCCTCTGGCTGGGAAGTGAAGGTGGGCCCGTCTCCAGCTCGATATTGGGTGGTGAGCGCATGGGTCGCCGATGCCTCTCTCATCTCTTGATGAAGGGTAAGTAATTAAGCACACCCGTGGCGGCGATTGCGCCGACGATGACGGCCGCGCCCATCCGGAGGTGCAGGCGACGCTGCGGAGGCTGGCGCTGCGGGCTTCGCGGCGCTTTGTGCTTCGCTGTCACCGGGCGCTGGAGCGCTGGACCGAGGCGGCGGCCATCGGCGCGGCCATTTGGCGATCGGCAGCGGCCATGGTCTACGCGTGCCCCTGAGCTGTCCCTGGAGGAGGAGCGCCTCCCCTTCAGCGACGCGACGCTGGTCTGGGCGCTGGCTTGGGGCTGGCGCAGAGGTTAATGTTAATTGGGGGGAAACCGCCCACTGTAGACATCCGACCATCCCGACGCAATGAAACACACGCCATCGGGACACACCTCGCATCCCCCCCTGTCATCCGTGATGGCGAGGGCCGCAGATTCGGAAAGGACATGGGACCCGTGGCTCACAGGGCCACAGCAGACACCCTGCGCGCTACAGGTGCAGCTTCGATGGGAGCTTCCTGACCACGCAGACGAGTCACCTCGCAACGCAACAACTGACGATCTCAAGCCTGTGATGGGGATAACTATTTTTCCCGCGCTCTGGTTGGGCTTCTGGCGACCACGGCGCCTCTTCGGCGCCTCTTCAGGCTGCCCTTCCCCCTGCCAGCGCGCGCAGGAACAACGAAGAGAGGGGAAAGGAAGGTATTGCCTGTGCTGCGCTACTCCAGTTCGAGGATCTGGCGTCAGATGCAAAACAACCTTTGGCCCGAAGTCTTTGTCCTGAGCCGAAGAAATTGACCTCGGTTGCAGCTTGACGAGTCGTCTGACTCCATGCCGCCCACCCGCATCTAGTTCCCTTGCCGCATCTCAGGCCCCAGTTCCTTTGCCCATCTTAGGCGCGTGAGACGTCTGTGTTTTGAACCTCTCGGCGAGGGCCAAGCGTGGCGCTGGCCCGGCCCCCGCGGTTGCCCGCAGAGCCTTCCGAATGCCCCGCGGATTTTTCGGTGTTCTTGGAACGAAGCAAGACGGAAATCGAGTTTGAGTTGGTGTTCGGGTGGAGAACCAGGAGGAGGAAAAAGGAGGGGGAGGAGGAGGCATAGCCAATAATAGTTTCGGCTCCACCAGTTTCTACTTGACCTGCTGCACTGACTCCACTTTGGTCGCTCTCGCTTACGCGCCCTATCCCGCTACCCGTTTCCGGTGAGGGGTGCCAGGTATACCGTTTTCATTTCCGCGGTCTCCTGGGGATGTGTTGACATTGGCAATGTAAACTCATCCCCAGGAAACCGCGGAAATGAGCATGTAACCTTGCAGTGTAAATTCATCCCCTGGAAACCCAGGAAACTGGGCGAATATAGAAGCAATGTAACATTGCTTCTATATTCTCCTAGTGGTCCTGACTGTTGCGTTTCGTCAGAGCTTCCGAATGCATATCGTGTGTTCAGTGTTCAGTTGGGCCCTCGTTTTGAATGCGCCGCGCCTCGCCTCCTTCCTCCTTGATCACAGTTTCCCTCTTCCTGCATCTGCTTCCCAGGAGGTCCACTGAAGCACACTCCTCACACGTTTCGTGGCCCCACAGACTGGTCCACCAAAGGACTCAGTGGCATGTTGTTGCAGGGCTGAACCTAAACGGTGTTTTCCGTGTTCGTTTTGTGTTTGTTTTCCCACGTTTTGTCTTCAATCCGCTTTCAACGCAAAGCGAAATCGAAACGAAAACGGCCTTCGAAATCGCCAAATCACCGTTTAGGTCCACCCTTGTGTTGTTGCATGCGGCCCCCCCAAGCCATCCGGCACATTCATCACACGTTTCGGGGCCCCACAGGGCGCACCGCCGAAGGTCTCCGTGACATGGCGCTGCATGCGGCCCCCCGCCCATTACGGCACACCCCTCGCACGGCTTCGTGGGCCCAAAAGGAGCTCCCCAAAGGAGCTCCACCGAAGGCCTCAGTGGCATGGCGTTGCGCGCGATCTCCCCCTCCCATGTCGGCACGCATGCCGTACCTCTGCGGCAAGGCAGGGGTTCCCAGCGACGGCATCAGCGGCAAGGTATTGCATCAGTCCCTCCGCCAATTTCGGAACACCCCTCACGCGTTTCGTGGCCTCGCACGGAGCTCCAGCGAAGGACTCGGTGAGTTGCTGTTTGACGCGGTCTCCCCGCTCATTTTGGCACACCCCTCATGTTTTCCATCGGCCCCATAGGGAATTCCACTGAAAGTCTCAGTGGCAAGATGTTGCACGCGCCCCCCCGCCCGCCCGTTCCGGTACACCCCTCATACGTTTGTGACCCCACAGTTAATTGCATCGAAGGCAGCAGTAGCACGGTGTTGAAGGCAGTCTTTGTGGCGATTTCGGCACTCCTCACACTTTCGTGGCCCCGCAGGGAGCTCCTGCCACATCCCACGTGGCAGTATGTTGCATGTGCCCCCCCGTTCAGTTCGGCACACACTCGAACACACGCGAACACACACATGCACACACACACACACACACACACACGCAAGCAAACACACACACACACACATACCTCGCCTCAGTGGCATGTTGCATGCGCCCCCCCTCCCATTACGGCACACCCCTGACACGCTTCGTGGCCCCACAGGGAGCTGCACCGAAGGTCAAGGTGGCAAAATGTGTCATTCGGCTCCCCCCGCCCATTTCGGCATACCCCTCACACGGGAAGAATTTTCGAGGGCATCAGTGGCGAGGTACCATTGTGTCTGAACGCGCAGCGTCCCCCCGCTCATGTCGGCAGACCTTTCACACGTTATGTGGCCGCACAGAGAATTTTGCCGACGGTTTTGGTGATTATGTTGGCACATCACTCACGCGTTTCGTTGACCTCACAAGGAGAAACTCCGAAGGCCTCAGTGGAACAGGAATCCTTGGGCCCGACCTCACAGTGTGCCCCCGCCCATTCCGGCATAATTATCATATGGTTGGCGGCTTCATAGGGAGCTCCGCCGAAAGCCTAAGTGGGCCCGACTGCCTGGCGTCCTCCCGCTTATCTCGGTAAACCTTTGACACGTTTCGTGGCCCCATGTGGAGCTCCACCCACGGTGTCGGTGTGCCTTTCTGGCCCCCTTCGCACGTTTTGTTTCGAGGCTCCATAGAGAGCTTCATCTACGGCCCCAGGGGCAGGTTGTTCTGCGTAGCGGGGGCACCCATTTCGGCGCACCCCTTTCGAGCCGTGCCCCTGGGGGAGCTACACCTTCGGCCCCAGTGGGATGGTCAGCCTTTCGGCGCTGTCCATTTCAGCGCACCCTTGGCACGTTTCGCGGCAACATGAGGAGCTCCACCTGTGGCCCCAGCGGCAGGGTCCGCACGGGCGGGCCGCTTAATTCAGCTTACCCCTCACGAGGACTGTGGCCCCATAGGGAACTCCTCCGGCCCCAGTGGGAGGGTCCGCATGGCGGCGCCGCCCATCTCGGCACACCTGTCACCAGGACCGCGCCCCCACAGGGGGCGCCCGTTCCGATGGCCCCAGTGGGAAAGTTTGAATAGGTTCCCGCAGATTCTGCCGTACCCCTTACACGTTTCGCGCCTCCCCATACGGCCCAAGTTTGAGAGTAACATGCCTTCCCCCATCCATTTCGGTACATCCCTCACACGGCCCGTCCATAGAGAGGTCCATCACCAACGTTGCATGAAGCTGCCAGGATTGAGCTCACCAGGGTAATTCAAATTCCAGGATTACGTTGGCTTCCAAGGTGCTTCCGGAAGAGTCGAAATTGTCTGCTCCCCTCTGCATTACCTTTTTGTTCTCCGTTCCTCACCCCGCACCCGCGGGCAGCCAGGTCTTAGATTGGAGGGGCGACAACTTACCTCGCGGTCGGCACGTCAAGAAGCTGGGGACGTCGGGAGGGCCAATCCGATCCTTGCCCCGTAGCCTCGCGCGACATTTGCATTTCGCCTCCCGGCCCTCTTCTCTCCACTGAGGTGTACCTGAGAGGTCGAGGACAGTTTTCCAACGCGTTATTTGCTTGATAGCCTTACGCCGAATCGCTTCAGTTAACATTGAGTGGGACGTCGCATGCCGCACGGGGGTAATGCGCAGCGCCATGCGACAGAACCCTGGCCACGTTGATCCAGTACAAGCTTCCTACACGATGTGGTCCCCGCTGGGCCAGTATTTTTGCCAGCTCGTTCGCTGCGGTGGTTCGGAGAGTGTGGATGCCCCTGCCAGCCACATGGTTCGTCGAGCGATGGGACATTGTGCGAGGACTGGTTTTTCTCTCGTGAGTCGCAACAGTTGTCCATTTGCCCCAGCGTCTGGGTCGCGTCTACAAAGCAGTCGGCATGTGGGGAAGGCGGAGGATGTTGGTTTTATGAACGCTGTCTTATGATGTTGGTTGGGCGTTCACCTATAGCCTTGATGACCGACCCCGCCCTGCGGCTGTTTGGTTTTGAGGGCGCTTCTGTGCGGCATCGGTCAGGATGAGGATGAGTTGGAAACGGAGAAGTAGGACGAGAGGAGGAGGACGAGTGGTCTGGCCGTCCAGCCTCGTCATCTGCACACCTGGTGTGAGGCCCCTGCACGTCGACTGGGATGATTGGAGTGTGCTGTGCCTGTGTCCTCGGCCTCTCCAGCGCCCACACCTGCCTCCGATCCCTTCGCTGACATCTGGTGGCGCCCGTCGAGGATGCAAGCCAGGGAGACGGACGAGAGCATCATGCAGGCGGTCAAGATCTCCCTCAACCTGTGCCCCTGGGGGGATGGCCCGAGGGCCAGCTCCGCACGCTCTCGGTCTCGAGCATTGCCGCGCAGCCACGCCGTGGGGACAGTACAGTGGAAACACATGCCAACATTCAAACATAGTAAAACATAGTCTGGGGACGATGGTTTTACTATTTGTTTGACTGTTTTTGCGTCCGTTTCATTGTTCGTCCAAAATCCGCGTGTATGGGGACATGCCCGACCCAATCCTTATGCAGCACGACGACTGTGACTAAGGGATCGGCCCAGGGGTGGGCGATCCTGCCGCACCTATGTGCCTGCGCTCTCCGAGTGCGCCAGGGCTTCGTTGGCCGCGGAAGCGGCAGGGCCGTTTCTCATCGCTTCGGGACAACTGCCTCGTGGACACGGAGGCGGCTTGGAAACAACGGCGACCCGAAACGGCAACACCATTACTCCAGGATGGGAGTCATGACGGGAACCGGGAAACGGACGGCGACGGACCAAGTAACAAAACAGCGCTTCAACCAGCAGCAACCTTGCAACACGGAGCGGAACTGGTACAACAACGGCTCTGCCGATTCCATGGCCATCTACATGCTAGGGGTCCGTCGACGATGCTGGCACCTCTGCGCTCTCCGAGTGCGCCCAGGGTCCTTCGACGATGCCACGCGCCAAGCCTGCCGAGGGTCTGCGGGCTCGGCGTGCAGGGAGGGGGGCGCTGGGGGGATCGGATCGTATCCGCGATCCGCGCAGAAAGTACCTGCGGCGTGGTACCAGCCAGAAGAGCAGGATGAGGAGGGGGAGGGAGAGCGAGAGGGGGGAGGGTAGCGGAAGTGGACGAGAGAGAGGGGGAAGGGGAGGACAGGGGAGGGGGAGGGGGGGGGTGGGGGGGTGGGGATGGGGAGGAGAAGGCAGCAGAAGTGGAAAAGGAGGGGGAGGGGATGAAGGAAGAGCAGCAGCATGATTCTGTTTGCCTTGCTGTCTTGCTTCATCCTGCACTTGCTTGCAGCTCACCTTGTTGGCCGCTGTGCTAAACTTCGTCTCTATTCAATGCCAGCCTTTACCAGTCAGACGCTGCAATCCTCGCCGATCGAAGTCCGACCAACGTCAAACAGCAGCAGCATGAAGAGGACGATGAGGACGAGGAAGACGAGCGACAGGAGGAGGACCACTAGCAGCAAGAGGGCTCCCCTGTCCAACGGCCGTCGCCCCGTGTGAGCCCTGCGTTCTGATGCATGCGCACGGCCGTTGCACCTTGCTAATTGCACCTTCCCCCTTCGGGGGGGGGGGGGCTGCGGAACGGGGACAGGCTGAGGGATAGATGGGGGGAAAAGGGGACGGAGGAGGCGGCAGGTGGTGAGGAGATGGAGGAGAAGCAGACGGAGGAAGAGGAGGAGGAGGAGGAGGGGAGGAGGAGGAGGAGGAGGAGGAGGAGGGAGGAGGAGGAGGAGGAGGAGGAGGGCGAGGAGAAGGAGGACGAGGGGCAGGAGGAGGAGGCGGAGGAGGAGGAGGAGAGGAGGAGGAGGAGAAGGAGGAGGAGGAGGATGAGGGGGGGGGGCGGGGGGAAGAGTGCGGAGGGGGGGGGGGGCGAGAAGTCGCAGGCGTATCCAACGGCAGGGGTATTTCGTTGAGTTTGATGCCCTTCCCTCCCCGCAGCCCGCATGTCGCCCAGGGCGCCAAAAGCTCCAGCCTCGCTGCGGGGAGACTTCGGCTAAGGCATCTCGTCTCGCCGGCGGCGGGGGCGGCGCCCGATAGCGGCCTGGGCTCGGCCAGGCTTGCTTGCCGGCCTGCTGTAGCGGGCCTGCCCCCTGGGCGTTGCTTCGTTGCTTGATGGGGGGGGGGGCGATGCATGCATGTCAAGCAGTGGCGAAGCGTCCTGGTTCGCCTAAAGACCTACCCAACAATGTTCTAAGAACCTTTCGTGGTTTCCACGACATGTGCTTAGAACATTTCTGGCTGGGACCGTCTTGTTTTAACACATCGGGATGTTTTTCTAAGAACATTGTTTTTGCCCTTCGAACGTGTTTGGGTTCGAAGAACATGTCGTGGTAGGCCTATAGGAATTCCGGGGCGGTCGGTCCCCGGGTCAAATGGGGGGGGGATGCATGGATGACCAGGGGGTGCAGAGAGGTGCACCTTTGGATCCCCAAAGGTGCCCTGGAGGGGCCCCGCGGGCCCAAGAGTGGCACGGAAGGTGCACGTTTTGCTCCCCCCAATGATCGCCCCCCCATGAAGCAACGCCCCAGTACTGTGGAGGTGTGGAAAGGTCGGCTATACGCAAGAGGGACCCTGAACAAGAGTGACCTTTGGTGCGCAGCTTTTTGGGGGCCGCAGGGGGACCAAACCTGGGCGCGCAAGCAGCTGCTGCTGCTTTGTTTTCAGCCATCTGGGGACCCATCTGTGCCCGCACCAAAGGTCACTCCTGCGAAATGTCATTCTTACGACTAGTCGAAAAGGGCTCGGGGGCCACTGGCGAGCAGGGTCCGCTCGGATGCCCCCAGCCAGCGGGACCTCCTCGCGTCGTGGAAGTCGGGCCCGAGGTTCGATGTTTTCGGGCGACGTCCTCCTCCTCCTTCGCCTCCTCCTCCTCTTCCTCCTCCTCCTCCTCCTCTTCCTCGTCCGATTCTCTGCGGTTCTCCGCCGGCATTCCTGGCCTCGGGATGCGTTTTTCAGAAACCGCGCTTCGCCGAGAACGCTCCGGGGGTGCCCGGGTCGTCCCGAGCGGCTGCCGGAGGCCCGAGCCAGGACCCGAAGGCCAAGCTCGGCGGCAGGGGCGCACCAGGGGGAGGAGGGGCGGCGGCGCAGGAAGCGAAGCAAGAGACGTGGGAAGTTCCGGAGGTCAGCCCCGGGGACGCGAAGGTGGTCGTTTTTGTTGGTTCGTTGTTTGGCCGATCGGCGCGGGCCCTCGCACCCCCCCTCCCCCCCTCCCCCCCCTCCCATGGAGTAGATCTTGGCTGTTTTTGTTGGCGCCTGTTTTGAGCAAGTGGGGCCCCTCCCCCATAGGACTCACGGTTCCAAACAGTCGCACTAAGCAGAGGTCCGGAGCCAGACCCCCCCCCCCTTTCCCCCCTTCCGCCCAATGTCGAAACGCCGAATACGGAACCGCTCACTAGGTCAACCCCGGGGACGCGAAGGTAGCCGCGCTCTTCCGGGCCAGAGCAGCTGCCCTTCCCCACGTGCCGGCGCGGGGGCGCGAAGATGGCCGCGCGTTGCGCATCGCGGGGCGCAGCGCGCGAGGCATTGAGGCGACCTCGGGAAGGAGCGATCGTCTCCCGCTCACTCCCGCCCCACCCCCTTGGTGTGGTGCGCGCGGGTTGGAGCCGGGTGAGGGTCTGAGGTGGCCCAGCATTGGTTCTGGCGAGCAGGAAGGGTGTGGCGAGTTTCGAGGTCCTGGCTTCGAGAAGGTGTTTTGCTTTCTCTATCTCCGGCGGCCGTTTTCGGGCCGCGGGACCGTGCAAAATTGATCAGTGGCGACAAATTGCACCATGTGGTCCCCGCGAGTGGTTTACTGACCCGTTTGAAATATATTTGCCTTTTGCGTCTTTCGCACCTTGCATCCTCTTCCGCCCTCGGTGGTGTTGTATGCTTCCTCGGTCTTATGGTCTGACTTTGCAGGGTCGCGTGGCCCGTGGTTTCATCGACGTCTGTCCACCCCTCCTTAGGGTCCGTTTCGATCCGATCGATCTATTTCGATATCAATTCTGGCCGAGCCGATCCAATTCGGTTTGGCATTCTGACGATCCGACGCGGCCCGATTTTGGCATGGCGCCGTTGGCATCTTGGCACGGCCGAGCCGACTCGATTCCGACTCCTGTGATGTCTGCGTACAAGTCGATTCGATCAGATATTTAAATCCAATATTGACTGATCCGGCCCCCTTGGGACATCCAAGTCGGGGATTTATACATAACCACATCTTGGGTATCGATATTCGGAGACCACGGCAGGCGGTGGATGTGGATATGATCGGGACCCAGGATCACGCATTCATATCCACCGCGTGTCGACGTTCCCGAAGATGGGTCCCCCAGGCGCAGAGAGAGGCCCGCACGGCAGCGGCGGGAGGTGCGATTGGGAGGACGACTCCGGCTTTCAAGTGCCCGCGCCCAACGTTCAAGGCACCGATCGCTCCTCTCGTTGTGTTTTTGTTTGCCTGCCGCTCCAGCCAGCCTCTTGGTTTGACCTTGCTTCCAGGCCGTCAAAATGGTGTCCGAGTAGATGGGGTCGGAGGATTGCACCGCATCGCCGATGCATGTGCGATGCCGCTCGGTTCGGCGCCTGATTTTCTCGATGCCGTCACGCCGGTGCATCGACGGTGGTTAGGCGAATCCGATTAGGGCGGCCTCTATTCCACGCGCCACACCACCCCAACCCAACCCGAAGGCCCCAATTTGCCTTCCATTCCCAGTGGGGGGGGGGTCGGGGAACATCGACAAAACCACGGATGGAACCCGTACCCCCCCCAAACCCGAATTCAGGTCTTCGGATTGGTTTGGGGTGGTTTGGTATGTAGTCAGGTTAGGGCGGCCTCCATTTGCTTCCGACCACGTGTGCCTCCAGGGGGTACATCGAGCGTGGCTGTCCTCGAGATCCTTGCTTGCGAAAATCGCAAATGGTGCGCCCGCTACAGTGAATGGTTCTTTATTGAGGCTACACGTTCCTCGATATCAGTCGCTCTGCGTGCATATACAGCTCGAGGAAGAAACAATTGCACAAACATAACAGTTTGGCGCTCCGTGCGAATAGAGGCCGAAGATAGCGACCAACCTGCCGTCGTGTGTTTTGAATGGCTCGAGGGATCTGAATCTGGAGGACATAGAGAGAGAGATCGATACATATATATATATATATAAAGAGAGAGAGAGAGAGAGAGAGAGAGAGAGAAGCTATCAACAACACAAGCAATCAACAACAGAGCAAGCAAACAGCACAAAGAGAGAGAAGGCTAGAAAACACCGCGGCGCGTCCGTCGATGCCTCGGGCCGCCCGGCCGGGCGCACCCTCCGAGCCAGGGAGCGGCCAGCGATCGCCGCGGCACACCCAGACGAGGGCCAGCCTTGGTGTTGCGCTCCATGTCCGGGGGGTGCTGGGAGTGCCCCTGGCCTCCCTCCTCTTCCTCCTCCTCCGCCTCCTCCTCCGCCTCCTCCTCCACCTCCCCCTCCTCCTCCCAGAGTGCCCCCAGGATTTCTAAGGAGGCCCCCGCGGCCTCCAGAGCACCCCTCGCGAGGCCCAGGGGGCCCCAGGGGCTCGAGGCCGGCAGGCGGGCCTGGGCATCCGTGGCGTGTCGAATGTTGCTGGGAGTGCCCCTGGCCCGGGGTGCCCCCAGGATTTCCAAGGAGGCCCCCACGGCCTCCAGAGCACTCCTCGCGAGGCTCAGGGAGCCCGGAGGATCCAAGAACGAGCGGAAAGGGAGCATTTATGCCAGGGGCACTTCGAGGAACGCCCGATCAATGAATTTTGAGCCTGGGCCTTACTGCGAGCCCGTTCCTGAAGGCAGCACACGGGGCCGAATTCCGCGTCCACGCGGAACGCTCCGAGACGGTCTCGAGGCCGTCTCCAGGAGCGGTGGGCCCGGGGAACCCTTGGCTCGCGGGCCTCCCTCCGCAAAAATAATCACACGGACACCCTCCAGTGGATTGCCCATGGGCCGCAGGGGAGGGTGGCGGTGTGCTGAAAGCACCGCTGCGAGCCAGCGACTCGTTACACCGTCGCCCTCCCTGAAGGTACCTGCAACATTTGTCGGAGGGTGTATGTGCATATACGTTTGTGGCGTAGGCCCTCCTCCTGCACCACATTGGGTGGGCCGTCCGGTGGGCCACAACGAAGGATTAGCGCGCCATTCGCCTCTAAAGCCGTATCCATACGGACCTCCGGGCACGCTGAAGCCAAGCGCATCCCTGACCCGCTGGGGCCGCAGGTTGGAACAACAGGCGCCCGCGCCCGGTATCGCGACCACGCGAGGGCGGCGGCGCATCGCCAGGAGCAGACCTGGCTGGCGAGCCTGTCGCAGCAGGAGGCGGCTCGCGCGCGGGCGCGAGCCACACGGCGTTCGAGCACGGCGTCGCCGGCGCCTCTCTCCCGGAGGGGCGATTGTGGGCCCGCCTGTGCCTGCCAGGGGCGCGTTCGCCTGCGGCGAGGCGGCGGCTGCTGTGCACAGTGCCGCCGCTGCGGCCCGTCGCAGAAGAGAGACGGCGGCCCAGCTCCTCGGACTCTGCGGCAGGCGCTCCAGCGGCACCCCCCGCCACCGCCGCGCCGCCCCCGGGCCCGCGGCCCGCCCGGGCGCCCCAGCCGCCGGCTTCTCCCCGCAGGAGGCGCGCCGGCTCGAGGCAGCTCTTCGTGCAGGCGCAGCAGGGCCAGGCCAGAGCGGGCTGGCGCAGTCTTCCTTGGGGGGTGGTGTGTACCGGCGTGGACACTTCCCGCGTGGCCCCTGGAGCACCAGCCTGCCCTCGTGCGCCGGACCTCGGCGCCCCGCCTTGGCCCCAGTGGGCCAGGCCCCGTCTCCCCACCCCCCGGGCCCTGCGTGCCCTCGCTTGGGGAGGTAACTACGAGCACTGTGGCGGGTGTCCCCCGAGGGGTCTGGAAAACTATCGAAATCATTGAAATCAATGAAAAATGAAGGTTTTGGGATGGTTTTCTTTTGCCCAAAATTTATCATGTTTAAGCAACATGTGAAAAAAAGGTGCTGTAAAAATGGCAGACAACCTTGCCGTCGGGTATTTCGGGTTCGTTTTTTTTCATCATTACGCATGCGCGTGCGCCGCGCGCGGTCGCGAAATGAGGCCCTCGTCGCAGGGCAGAGCGCATTTCGGATCAGGTATGAGGCATGATCTGAGCGCGTTTCCAAATTTTTTGGCTCCCGCTTGAAACATCACGAAACAAGCCTACTCCCAGGAGGGCGTTGGCATCTACATCGCCTATATAACGGCTGTTTTTTTTGCGCGCATACCGCATGTAAGGGTTTTTTACGCGATTGCACGCGCAGCCCAATGTTAAGTGTGTGTTGTTTTGGGGTGGTCTTACACAGCCATGTACGTGATCATGCCACATTACACTACACCTCGCAATATTAGATGTTAAGGTTATCCAGACAATTTCACGGCGGTCGGCAGGGTTAGCCAGCCAAACAGCCAACAACCGACTTGCCAAACCCGCGGCAACCCAACTAAACCAGCCAGCCAACCATCCAGCCAACCAGCCATACAGAAACACATCCAGCCAACCATCCACCAACCCCCCAACCAACCAGCCAGCCCCGCGCGACTCTCGCTCGAGACTTCCTCGCAATACGCGCGTGGCCACCGCGGTCGCAGGCGGAATAAGGCGTCAGCCTACTAGATAAAATGGGGGGTGGACGAGTCGACGAGAGGATGGAGCCTACGACTCCCGACCCGACGGCGGCAACACGAGTGTAGCAGAGCCATCTCCACGTCGCATTTTCTCTCAAGCGCTCGCGCTCGACCGACCCGCCAGCGGACGGGCGAGTCTCGAGCTGAGTCATGCTCTGCTCCGCAGTCTCCGCCGCCTCTCGCAGCACCCCCGCTGCTTGGCGGGCGGGCCTGGCGGCGACCGTCGCCGCCCTCGCACGTGCGCCCTACGCACGGGAGGAGGACCACCTCGTGAACGTTTTCTTATTCGGCGTTTGTTTCAACATTTGGCGGAAGGGCGGGGGGAGGGGGGGTGCCTCCTGACATCTGTTTAGAGACCCCGCCTGCTTGAAACAGGCGCCAGACACAGCCAAGGGCCAATATCTACTCTGATGGGGAGGGGGGGTGCGAGGGCCCGCGCCGATCGGCAAAACAAACAACGAATAAGAAAACGATCACCTCTAGTTTGTAACACCCCGGGCCCCACGCCGTCGGCCCAGGTCCCTGGGCACGGGGCAAAACAAGACACACGGCGCGGCGCCGTGCACAACTGCATAACAAATTCAGGTGGTGGTGCTCCCGCCCACGAGAGGAGGACGAGAGAGAGAGAGAGAGTGCGTGTGTACGTGCTGTATGTGTGATGACTAGTGGATCCCGCGACCCGTGGACCTCTCTTGGGGTCCGAACCGAACGCACGAGCTTTTCAAGCTGCGACAAGCGTGGCGGCGGGTGCCACCTTGACTGGAGGAAGCCAGGAGATCCGAACATCTTCGGACCGCGTCGGACCGAGGTAAGTGGTGTGTGTGTGTGTGTCGTGTGGTGTGTGTGTGTGTGTGTTGTGTGTGTGTGTGTGTGTGTCGTGTGGTGTGTGCGTGTGTGTGTGTGTGTGTGTGTGTGTCTGTGTGTGTGTGTGTGTCTGTGTGTGTGTGTGCGTGCGTGCGTGCGTGCGTGCGTGCGTGCGTGCGTGCGTGCGTGCGTGCGTGCGTGCGTGCGTGTGTCGTGCGTGTGTCGTGCGTCGTGTGTGCGTGACGACGAGTCGTGGACTCCACGGACCCTTCTTGGGGTCCGAATGCACACATGCTTCAAGCTGCGTCCAGCCGCGGCGATGGGCCCGCGACGGGCGTCACCGTGCGACCCAGGACCCACAACCGAAACACTTAACATGATTCGGACCGAGGGTCCCGAGGGAGAGAGGCCGCTCCGAGCGGGCGGCTACCTACTTGAGGAAGTGGGTGGCTGCCTGCTTCATCTCCTTCGCCGTGGTGTGGAACTCGCTGTCCACCTCGACGTTGTCCTCTAGGTGCGGGGGTGAGCAAACAACAAACGACACCACGACACCACCCCATCCCCATCTACGGTTGCTCTACGGTCCATCGGCCCATCGGGGGGCCGTATACCATGCCACGCTAAGCCCCATGGGGGCCGCAGGTGGGGTGGTGGCGTTTGTTGTCTGGTCCAGTCCAGGGTAGCAGGGGAGGCGAGGTGAGGGAGAAGGAGACGGCGGCAGAGTTGCGCGAGGGAGTAGAGGGAGGGGAGGGAGGGGAGGGAGAAGGGAGGGAGGTAGGCAGGGAGGGAAGGGAAAGGGAGGGGAAGGGCGGGGAGGGAGGGGCGGAGAGGAGAGGGGAGGGGAGTGGCCGGGAAGAGAGGGAGAAGGGCTCGGAGAAGGGAATATCCTCATCCCGCTTGCGCTTGCGCTCATCCGCCACCGCCTTGATGCGAGCGACGTTCGCGACCTCTTCTGGGAACAGCGGGCG